CCCATCAGCCCCAGCCCTGCTCTGTAGGCCTCAGTTTCTTCCTCTTTAATGAATTAATTATATATTTTTTTGAGAGAGAGAGAGACAGGGTGTGAGTGGGGGAGAGGCAAAGAGAGAGGAAGACACAGAATCCAAAGCAGGCTCCAGCTGCCAGCACAGAGCCCAACACGGGGCTCGAATCCGTGAACTGCGAGATCACGACCCGAGCCGAAGTCAGACGCTCAACCGACTGAGCCACCCAGGCGCCCCAGTTTCTTCCTCTTCAAAATGGGGATAATGAAAGTGTTTCTGCTCTGGGGTGTTGTGGGGATTCTGTAAAGTCCTAGCATAACGTCCGTGTGCAGTAATCCATGTGACAGATGGTGGTGGCTTGGACCAAGTGGTAGCCGTGGAGGTGGCGAGAAGTGACAGGACCCCAGGTTGTCACCTACTCCTGCCCCCGTAATACACCCAACACCTAAACCTTTGCACCCATTTCCTCCTCACTCAGGGATGCCTCGTTTCCTCTCTCCATGCAAAAATCACAAACCCATATCAGCCCTTAAAAGCCAAACTCAAATCTGAGCCTTGGATGGAAGTCCTCCTTCTTTACCCGCTCAGGACAGCACGGTATTTACCCAGTGGGCTTTCCTGGAGAGTTGCGTGCTGAGCTACAGTCAGAGCACTCTACAAGTTGTAACTGTTTTCATCCTCACAAAATGCCCCGCGACTCTGGTTTGTTAGCCCTTCACAGTCAAGTGACTTCCTGAGGTCACAGAGGAGGTACCAAAACGAGGGGGAAGATCCACTGGGTTTGGCTCTGAGTCTGTGCTCTTAACGACTCAATACGCTGCTTCTCCGTTAGCAGAGTGACGATGGTCACAGGCCATCAAGTTGGCCTTTACTGAGCGCCGGGCACTCTGCTGAGCACTGGTCACAGGTTCATGGTTGAACCTCACCACATACATGTTGCTCTCCGCACGTGGGTTTGCATCTGAGCCCCAGCACTTGCTGGCTCTCAGCTTTTAGCACTGGGCCACCTGGCAAGAGCCCGCCCTCTTGGCCCTCCCTCCCCCAGGGCTTGGTGACCGTCTGTGGGCTTGACGTTCCTTGGGACAGAGCTGGCGTCTCTCTAGCATCTCTCTGATGCCCCCTGGAACCCAGTGTAAGTTCACTAGGCCCTCCATAACAAAATACCACTTAAACGGCAGAGATTTATTTTCTCATAGCTCTGATAGCTGGAAGTCCAAGGTCAAGATGTTGGCAAGGTTGATCTCTTGAGTCCTCCCCTTGGCCTAGAGATGGCCATCTTCTCCCTGTGTCCTCACATGGTCTTTTCCTCTGTGCATGTCTGTGTCCCAATCTCTTTTCATGAGGACACCGGTCATACTGGCTTAGGGCCCACCCCCAATGACCGCATTTTACCTTAATTACTCTGCACATACAGCCACATTCCAAGGTACCTGCGATTAGGACCCAAATTTAAGAACTTTGGTCGGGACACAATTCAGGACAGTTATTTCAAACTCCAAACTGCTGATGGGACGGGCCTGCAGTGCCTGGCTCAGTCCGTAGAACATGCGACGCTTGTTCTCGAGGTCATGAGTTCGAGCCCCACGTTGGGTATAGAGCTTACTTACCAAAAAAAAAAAAAAAAAAAAAAAAAAAAGCCGATTGTCCAGATAGATTAGAGTAGATGAATGAAGTGGGCTGGGAAAAGACTTGGCCTCCCCATTCTTTTATTTTCCCACTTTTGACATTTTTCCCCGAGGCACCACAAAAGCATTTCCCTTTCGTCTTTACTATGTGAAAGACCAGTGCGGGACCATCTGTTCACGGCTGTATCCCCGGCTCCTAGAACAAGTGCCTGTCACCTAGAGGGGGTGCTCAGTCAGTATTTGTTGAGCAAATGAGTGAGCAGAAAGGCCCTGGACATTGGGGAGAGGCAGAGACCAGGGTGAATACTAGCTAGGGGGTCAGCCAAGCCCTCAGCTCTGCTCAACGGTCAGATTGTCAGGAATTCAGAGGTCTCTGTAAATCTCGATTTTGCCACGACAGCAACGAATTCACAGAAACGAGAACATGAGGCAGATCCGTTGGCAGCACTGCCCTCTACTAAGGGGGTCCCTCCGTGAGCCGGCAGGACAGGCCTCTGTGAGCAGCCCGGGGGCGTCGTGCTCCTCCAGTGGAGACGGGAAGCTGGGGGTGAGGGCCTGGGCCCCTCTGCCTGTTCCTGCCCCTCAGGGACCCCCTGCCTGTGGTCGTCTCTGCAGGAAGGCGACGCGCTGGGCGCCACGGAGAAGCTGTGCAGGCAGCTGACTTACCACCTCAGCCCCCACTCGCAGTGGAGGCGGCACCGGGGGCTGGTGAAGAGGAAGCCACAGGCCTGGTGAGTCTCCGTCACCTGAGGTGGAGCTGCCCTGCCCCCCGCCCGGCCTCCCCTCCCCCTCCAGGGTAGCCCAAAGTGAACCCATGCCAGGCTGGGTGTTACACCACGTTCCCTCCCCCGGGGGTGAAGGGAGGAGCTGAGACCAGAGGGCTGGTCTTGGAAGGTGCCCGAAGGAGGGGAGACTGAAGGAGGGCATTCCACAAGGGCGAGAGCCGTGAGGGGAGTGCAGGCGGGACCCCTGTCTGTGGATGGGGAACTGGGGAGTGTGGGCCCATTCAGAAGGGGTGGGTGGGGAGGCCGACGGGAGAAGTTTCTATTTCCTGGTGTGCGGAATATGGGTGATGAGGTTTTGGGGTGATGGTGGGGTGGTCCGGAGCAGACGGCCAAGAAAGAATTCTTGAAGACGTCTTTGGTGCAAAAAAAGGTGATTTTATTAAAGCACAGGGACAGGACCCACGGGCAGGAAGAGCTGCATTGGGGTTGTGAGGGGTAACTCATTATATACCTCAGGTTGGGAGGGGGTCGGGGACAGAGTAAGTCTCTAAGGAATTTTGGAAGCAAGGTTTCCAGCACCTTGAGGGGCCAGCTGTTGCTAGGGAAAGGCCATTTATTACCGTTTGATAAAACCTCAGCCATGAGACCCTTTAGATGTGTATCAGGGGCCATAAGCTTGGGAGTACAATGGCCAGCATGTATCTTGGGGGAGTTGAGATAAAGGAAGTAGACTTACAGGATCCTCGAGGTTGGGGTAAGTTAAGCTAAGGTTCTCTTTTGCCCCTAGCAAAGTGTCATCATGGAGGCAGCTGAGCTCCCAGAGGACCGTCACTCTGCCTGTGCCAAGGACTTGTCAATGGGCTGTAGGCAGTAAGGGAGT